TGGCAGAGGGACTGTGGGCCAGCCCTTTGCTGTTTCTAGGGTGGCCAGATCTAAGCACCCCATGGGCCAGATCCAGCCCCAGGGCCTTGAGTTTGATACCCCTGCTCTAATCAATGTATACTTTAAAAAAAGGACAATACAAAAATTAAATGATATGCATTGACTGATTTAATAAAATAAAATATGCAACTTAAAAACCAGTTAGTGTTACAATTTCAAGTGCATCATTATAACACTTGGAGATTTCATTCTCATTCTTGCAGAATAATGGGAACTAAAATACTGTTTGATCTAACATTTTTTGTCTTTCAACTTTTAAAAGGCTTTCATAGGACTGGCACTCAACAAACAGGTATCCTTGAGAAGGTATCATCTCTTGCTGCATGAACAGAATAAACTAAAAACCCACCTTATTTGCAATATTTTGGAGCAGTTTTTCTCAACCGTGGCGGCTCGGAAGAAATATAGACTTCAGGACTTCACACAGTCAGGTTTTGCGGGGAATTCTGCAAACTCAAGTTCACACATCTCCAAGTTGCCAAGGTTGAGAGGCACTGCTTTGGAAGGACTAATCTTGGCAGCAAATATAAGGCAGTCTTTGAAGCATGAGCAAGATAACTTTCCCTCCAATGTTTTCCACATCTTCCTGCAAGTCTACAAGCTGTGGCCCAGATTTCATGTGGTAACGGTGCCTTATAGATCAGGGGACTCCACAACTGCTTTCAAAGAGCTATCCCTTGGGTCATTACATTGTAGTGATAATATGGAAGACCACGGTTATTCCAACCTGTTTAGTGACATATTTTGATTTTACCTTCATATTAAGAAAAGTCTAGAAGTTTCGCATTCATTCTGGGCTAGCTAGTCTGCTTGCTTTTCATTCTAGCTTGCTGAATAAAGGAGAAGGGGTGGATGGAAGGATTATTTCCATATATCTTCAAAGCTTCCCCTCACCCACCAAAAAGTCTGACTCTCAATTCCCATCCCAGTCAGGTGCCATTCAGTTAAATTCACGGCTTGCAGTCTCCTTAACATAGCAGGACCAGGAAGTCATGGCATCAGGTTTTGATAAAAACTGTGTGTTTGTTATTAATGAAGAACCTATGTAGGGAACCAACATTTTAGGTACTGTGAAAATTGGCTGTCCTTGGGCTACCTCTGCTATTGTTATTAAGGAGCTCCTGGCAGCCTGTAAGAGAAGTTAACTGTTATCTTGCTTAGTATGTATGCTTTTTGTTATGCTTTTAAATCTCTTTGCTTGAGCTAACAATAAATCTTAAAATCCCTTTATTTACTGGAGTGTTCATTGTCTCTGGATCCAAAAGAAGCAACTGCCTGGGCACTTGATCACTTGACAAAACATTCCTACCTACCTGCATTATATTAGAAAGCAACATAGACTATCTGCTTCTCACTATTCTCTCTTTTGATTTCTTGTGAAGTTCACAATATTCTGTAACCTACAGGTATTAATTATGCTTTTAAGTCAGGCCTTCATTAAAGTTGGACGTTGTGGTTAAAGGTCATCTTGGTTTTCTGCCAGGTAAATACCAATTCAAGTAGAAACATCTCTAAACTGTTTGGAGAACAGGGACGCTAGTAACACTAGTCTGTATCATTCTGCCCCCATCCCCAAAATTTACTATTATATTTTACTGCACTTAACAGAACCAACTTGGGTAAATACCACCCTCCCCGACTTCTCACAATTCTGTAAACTCAATGTTCTGACCGAGGAAATCTTATATTTCTATGCATGAACTACAGGATAATACATGACAGCCGAATGAATACGAAATGCTTTGAAGGCACTCAAGGCATGCATCAAAGCGGGTTTTCTTTTCTTTTTTCTCCTTCTTTCTCTGGAAGTCAAATACCACTTTAATGAGTGTGATCCAAAAATAAACTACCTCCACACAAACACACAAACTGGCAACGGATCTCCACACACACAAACTGGCAACGGACCTCCATACACAAAAAACTGGCAACGGACCTCATACACACAAACTGGCAATGGACCTCATACACACAAACTGGCAACTGACCTACACATACACACAAACTGGCAACTGACCTACACATACACACAAACTGGCAACGGACCTCCACACACACAAACTGGCAACGGACCTCCATACACAAAAAACTGGCAACGGACCTCATACACACAAACTGGCAATGGACCTCATACACACAAACTGGCAACGGACCTCCACACACACAAACTGGCAACGGACCTCCATACACACAAACTGGCAATGGACCTCATACACACAAACTGACAACGGACCTCATACACACAAACTGGCAATGGACCTCATACACACAAACTGGCAACCGACCTACACATACACACAAACTGGCAACGGACCTCCATACACACAAACTGGCAACCGGCCTCCATACACACAAACTGACAACGGACCTCCATAGACACAAACTGGCAATGGACCTCATACACACAAACTGGCAACCGACCTCCATACACACAAACTGGCAATGGACCTCATACACACAAACTGGCAACCGACCTCCATACACACAAACTGGCAACGGACCTCCATACACACAAACTGGCAACCGGCCTCCATACACACAAACTGACAACGGACCTCCATAGACACAAACTGGCAATGGACCTCATACACACAAACTGGCAACCGACCTACACATAAACACAAACTGGCAACCGACCTCCATACACACATGC